AATTCAGACAACATAAATACACACTAAACTTAAAAGAAGTATCAATAAATACTTTTCCTTTAAACAAATTGAGATTTGATAAGGCTGTAAGTACAAATCAGGAATAAGGTGTAATGCATCATTATACATGCTATATGAAACTTATTTTTGCAATAAACTTTTAAAGTTACACTCTCCATAGATTCAAGAAAAAAAATAAAATATGAACCTATAATATGGAAGAAAGTATAAGAAAATGACTTGCTGAGCTAAGAATGAGTAAATCCTTGGAAATAAAATTGTGAAGCTACAATTCTTAAGGTGACTTGGAAAAGATACAAAAGGTAATAGGAAGGAATTCTGTTCAGCAAAGAAAATTCTCAAAGAAATCAAAATGCAGATGGAAAAATCACAAGAAGGTATTTTGCTTCTCCACCAGTGGTAATCCCTACAAAAACAACAACACAAGGAATGCTCACCAGAAATATGAGAACTTGACATGGCAGATAATTTAGAGGAGCTCTCCCACAGGAAATGGAAAAAGAATGCCTAAAGGGGCTGGGGATTTAGCTCAGCGGCAAAGCGCAACGTTGTGAGTTCGGTTCCCGGTACCGGAGAAACCCCCCCTCCAAAAAAAAGAATGCCTAAAAATAAGAGGCATAAAAGACAGAAAAAAAAATGAACAGAAGCAAATGAATGTCACTAGGAATCCATGAAACTTACCAAATTAGGAAAAGGTAAAGAGCTAATGCTTATGAGAAACAGAAACTATAGCCCACTGGTTGTAGCTGTAATGTGGACGGTGTATGATAAGATTTTAAACAACACACACTCTGCACCAGCAAAGAAGCTCCTGAGCACCATGGGGATTGTCTCAAATCTGCTTCTGGGACAGCAAGTAAGAGAATGTTCCTTAGTGCATTTATATCAGTGACAGAATTAGACAAGCCTGCTCTCCTTTATCTGTGGAAAGGCAAATGAAATGCTATACACACAAACAATGGAGACCCTGACAGGAACTACATGTACATGGAGCAGTACAAATAAAGCTGGAAAATAATATTGGATGAATTAATTAAAATACAGTATGAACTCTCTGTCATAGTATTTGGGCATTAAAAATACATGTAAATGAGATTAGGGTATAGCTCAGTGCTAGTGCACATATACAATGCTCATCAATACCTAGGGTCGATAGCCAACATAAAAAATGTATGTGAAGCCATCAAGTGTAATATAGTAGTGATAAGCAGGGGTATAATGTAGAGAGAAAACACACCTACAAGAGGTTTGCCAAGCACAGCATGAGTGATATTTGGGGCCAAGGTTTCTTTCTAATAACAGCGACCCTGTTTGTTATGTGACATTGTTAAAATCCTTGACCTCCATCCCTAAGATGCTACAAAATATTTTATGCTCTATGTTATAATTACAAGAAAAACACTGAAACACATTTACATGTTTTCTGATGTGCACAACTGCCATTAGGTTAAAACCACAGACTTAGTAGGTGCAATGAATACACAAGCTCCTGAATAATAAGGTATGAGAATGGGCAAAAAGCCCAAGACCTGTCAAACCTCTAGCCCTACACTCTAAAACCAACTCAGTGATTCTCTACAAAGTACTCTGTCTGTTCTTGCACATGCTCTCCTTGTCCTCACCACTACATTTTAGACATAAACAGTGTAATAACCAGAACAGGGCCCACTGCTTCACACTGTATGATGACAGCCACAGAGAGACACAAACAGACTGAAAGTGCTTTGAACTGAAGCTCTCTGTGTTTTATTCCCATGGGCATCTCCAGGATACCAGTATGGAAGGTCCGTCTATAGCATGTGAGCATACTAAGAGAACTATGGGAGATTTAGGGATTCCAGTCAATTGGAACTTGTGCAACATATGCCAAAGGCTCATGGTCATCTCCTTATCCACAGACATATAAACCACTGCAAAGATAAGTCTTCGAATTAACCATAGTGGACAAACATGCCTTCAGCTCTTTAATGTCAAGGAAATGGAAGTACAATTACATGAATGGGCAAACTGGGATAGAAAGGCCAATGTTTACCCAAGGTTAAAACAGTTAGAAAGGGTTCCAAAATCAGCATAATTAGAAAGTCGGAATGGAAGTGCTTTCTTGTTATCCTTGCATATGCTTGATGGTTTGTGCTCCAACCGCTCAGGTCTGTGTCTGCTCAGTGAAAATCTCTATTCTATGCCCTACGTTATGGTGATGCAAGCCAGACAGTATGATGACATCAAGGCACCATTCTGTAATAAAAATAATAACAACAACCAAATCAAACCAAAGCAAAGAAACAAAAATTAAAATCGAGAGTAGTGTTCCCTTTTCCAAATACTCATACTGTTCTCTTCATCCAGCTGCTCTAGGAAACCTGATAAATACAACTCTCAATAATGAAAACAATCTGAAGAGTTACGTTGTACTGCAGATTTTTTTAAGAGATGAAGTAGACACACTACTAGAGTTAGAAAGGAAAAATATCACAATCAACCCAAAGGAATTTCAAAAGTATGTGTGTTGAAAATGTACAGAATATGCTGTCGAGAGCCGTGGAAGCTGGAAAGTAATTACAGGTGCAGGACGAAGCCAGCCTGAGAACATGGGAGCTCCTTGAAACACGTAAACAAGTCGTTGTAGCTTGTTAACTGAGTGCTGGACAGCGAGGCAAAAATTAAACCAACTTCTTGGTATAAATAAACGCTCTACCATTCTTGAAGAGTTCCCCTTCTCCGCTGAGAGAGAAGACCTCCACCTGATCCCAGCTTTTGTCTCTTGTTTATGTTTTCCTCATTCTTGCCACCGTTCCTTCCCAGGGTACAGCAAGAACCCAACAGATCCCTACAATATGCCTATTCTCACAAGAATTACTGTAAGCCTTGGATCTTTAAAAATTTCTCAATATACATGCTTGATCTGTGTTTGGTGACATACATGTAACACAATACAAAATCATAATAAAATACTAAATATCTCATGCACTTTACTGAATACAGTGCACAACAAATCACTGCTTGTTCACCATTGGTGTCCTGTTGCTGACAGAGGAGTGATTTTTTACTGCTGTCCACCATCATGAGCAACTACTGTACCATAAATCGTAGTGTACAAAAAAGAATAAAATTTTAAAAAACTCAAACTAAAGGTTCCATTAAATGATTTTCTTTTTATTCTTCAATATTGGAGATTTATCACAGGACCTAGGACATGATAAACGAGTTACTGTTCAGTGGCAGTAAATCACAGAATTTCCATTTCATATTGAAAAAGAATCTTGCTCAATTGTCCAGGCTGGGTGCTGAAACACTTCCTGTCTCAGGCTCCCAAGTGCCTGAGAGTAAAAGGGTGAAAAACCATGTCTCACTGATTTTCCTTTTACCCAAGCACTGAAATCTTGGTAAATCATGATCAATAAAGAACCTCAGTCTTAAACTGGCATAATGGCACATGCATGTCATCCCAACAGTCAGTGAGGTACACAAACTATTAAAAGATCACACCACCCTAGGCACCTTATTAAGGCACGATCTCAAAATTAAAAATTGGAGAGTATACAGCCCAGCGCAAATTTCCAGAGTTCAGTTTCTCTACAATGAAAACATCAAGCACACCTTGAAATCTTCCATGTCCTAGGGAAACTGCTTTCATTCTACTTCAGTAATAGTGTCCAGAAAATCTTTTAACCTACATTAAGGCCAGACAATTTTCTAATTTCCGATGCTGCCTTAAAAATGATTACATGAACTGATCACTGATAACAGAAGACGTATTTATCTATTACTAAGTTCTATTCCTTTCTTCAAATCTGTGACACTTGGCCAACTCAAAGATGAAGCAAGTACACAATTCTTCCTTCGTGCTTACCCTAAGAACAATTTAACTTTTAGAGGAAATCTTCTATGTTGTAATTCCTACTATTGCCATCCTTCATCATACCAATGTTCACAACCTTTCCACTCTCCTTTGATACATCCTAAGCAGAACACTCTTCATGCCTAACTATTGATGTCCCTGCCCAATTTCTGTTTGGAACTTCTCCTTCACACAGTACTAGTTTTAAAGTCTATCTCAGAGACCATTTCAGTATTTCAAAAAAATCTATAATCAGGCCAAGCTGTATAGCAATTAATTCAGAGATGACACCCCCTTTCCTTTCCACTCATACAGATATCACATGTGTATATCCAGCAAATGCTCAAATTCAGGCCTTTTTCAGAGAGGATTTAACAGGCAGCCCATTCTGGAAGTTGTCCTTAGTAGGTAGACTTTACCCCGCACTTGCTAGTACTTTAACATCTGCTCCATTTTTCTCAGAATTCTGAACTCTCTGGCAGTTCTCACATAAATAGTCTAATTGTGAGTAGGAGTGTCACCTAAATAAGTAAGATTAGAAATTTCTTTTACACTGCTCTGCATGGAACATAGGAGTTCACTGCATATTTGGCAAGTACTCCACCATGGAGTCACATCACCACACTTCTTTAAATTCGCAGGTCTTTCGTCAACACCTATCATGAGTTTGGATATGAGGACATACTGGAAGTTAAGGAGATCACCATAAATATTTTTAAAAGCAGAAATTTGGGGACAGGAGTTGTGGCTATAAGTCCCCGCATCTCAGATATTTATAAACTTCAGATGCTTCAGATCTGCCTCTGGTAGAAATGAGAACAGGGACCTAGCTCACTACCGCGGCACCCAGCTCCGTATCACATCTGCCTCAAGATCTCCCCAAGCCCCTTTCTCTGCCCAGACTGGTGGAGGTGTGAGGACAGCAGGAGGTTTCAAAGATGGCACGGTAGGCTGGTGGTGTCACAGTGGGGAGAGGGTCCTAGGGACCCAGAACTACCTTTGCCTCAGCTAGGGGCTAAAGGCACAGAGGATAACTCACTGGATGACCTCGGGGTCTGAATCTAAATAGCTAGTTCTAACCACTTCTAACAGGTGTCACCAGATTCCACCTCATTTCAGGGCTCCCATCCCACAACGTCACCATTACGTGGCTTCAGGGTCTCCCAGGTTCTTTCCAAAGCAGTCCACAGCAAATAGAAGTCACAAAACACGGTCTAGCAAGCACTCTGATGTCAGTATCTTCTTCAGGATTTGCAAATAACGCCATGACACCGGAAGATACCGCCTACCTTGGCCCACTTGATTGGACAGTTCATATAGCCCGCCCCTCGATCACTGATTGGCTCCTCCTGTATTGCCCTCCCTTCAAGCCAAGACGAAGGAGGAAAACAAACCTCTACGTGCGAGAGTGGATCCCAAAAGAAAGACTGTAGCGCAGAGACTTCTGGCGGAGGCCGCTTTCTACCCTGCTGACCTCACCTCGCCTGAGGGATACTTGCAGTGAAGGGCTTTATCCCTGCCTTTTCAGTGTTGCTCCTATTTTCTTAAAGGATTCAACGGGCTCTTCTGTAATGGGTTACAAATGTGTTCAGAAGGTTTCAGGTTAGTATTCTAGGGAAGAATCAATCTCCTGATGTCATAAAACACCCTGAGCCCAGGCCAGGACACAGTGGAATAGAGGGAGAGCAGACTGTTTGAGAGGTCGATATTTTAGAGTGATGCAGCAGGCTTCATTCTCAATATTTTCACACTTATCTCTCTCCATCTGTTCCTTTTCATCCTAGAAAATTAATATGTGCCCACAAAAGAAGCACAATTACTGTGTAAATGAAGAAATTAGAGTTAAATGATAGCAAAAGTATGCAAAAAAGTAAAGAGGAAAGCTTAGCAAACATGTCAACTCTTCCATACAAGCTTGCTACTCATCCAGGGTCATACAAAACCTGAATTCTGAAAGTAAGCATATTGTCAAACATGAGGGTTACAATTCTTGCTGAAATGGAGCCACATTGCTTATCCAATAAACCATTTCCTTATGATGAGGCAGGGACATGCCTTATAGTTCCCTGCTCACAGATTGAAACTCTGCCTCTTCAGTATTTTAATATTCCTGGAAGAAATATATTGCCTGAACCATGTGATACACTTGTTAACCACTTGTTTGTCTTGAGAGATACATAGAATAAGAGTAAAATACACTTCTAGGTGTGTTTTATAGAGTCACGTGAGTTTGATCTGATGGACCAACTCTGGTCCCTGGATCCTTCTTCTCAGGCTCCTTGACTGCTCTCTGATTCCTTGATCTCATAAAGAAGTTACATTTTCTTCTTCACTTCTGTTTGCCAAGATATTTCTGCATTGGAAACAGTCAAACCCTGACTGCAGCTTCTGAAACAATGAGACAAAATAAATATATTTTTTTAAAATTCTGTGTGTCAGCTATTTTGTACCATTAACTAAGTAAAGAAATAAATACCTACTACAGTTGTTAGGTGCATGTCCTAAATAAACTTTCAAATGCATCAATTCATTCTTCAAGTAATTATATAAATGAATTTGTTTTATGACTGCTCTTCAGATTTCTATGTGTACATATTTCAGTCTGAGTTCAGATTTCTATATGTACATATTTCAGTCTGAGTCCAGATTCTCTGCATATCAAAAAACTTCTTTCTTCTATAATCCATTCTCCTTCATGAAGGCCAAACTACCTCAATGAAGACAGGTATCTGGTGATGAATTCATGCTTAAAACAAACCCACTGCTATAAAGAACTGGATTCAAGTTACACAGTATTTAACAAGGAGGACTGATGGAGGACTCCTTTATTAGCCACCAATTTCACTTGTAAGTGTTGACTTAGAAGAACTTATGAAGAATACTCACAATGATGTGAAGAAGTGTATGATAATGCTTTCTGGGAAATCACCCTTACAGCTGTGAATATGCTGACACAAGGTAGCATGACATTTCCATCTACAGGTACCCAAAAATGTACATGCTGCTTTTTCTATCTTAAAATTGACTATATAATTGCATGAGTCACACGTGAACATCATTCAGGTCTCATTCAAACATTGTCACTTTCAGAAGGCTTCTCTCACTCTCTGACATACTCTTTCAACTTTACTGAAGATTGATGGACCTCTTTCGTAAATCATCACACTTTATTCCGAGCTGCTGTGTTCAACAGAAAAGAATTTCTCAGTCTGAGATATCAGAAGCTGAGGAGAGAAGAGCTTTGTTCTTGGTCAGTGTTGTTTCTCAGCATACATAATATTTTCACACCAAATGAGAATGAAACTCACAATGGCAATAATAAGGGAAAATTCAAAGTATAAGATGCTGTGAGAACATGAAAAAAGGCAGTGTGAAACTTACTAGTTCAATAAAGGAAGCAACATTTTACCAGGAGTAGTTAGAATAGCAAGAAGGAGTTACCCAGAAAATGGTAAAATAGAACTGATGGCAGAAAAAGTAGTTTGAAGCAAAGGCATGTGAGTGTGCTGAGCATAGAGAGATGGCATTGATAAACAGTGTCTGAGTGTAAATCACAAAGGAGGAGAAAGGCTCTGAGAAATTTATCACTCTTGTGTCTATAGAAATTCAGTAATATGTTCCAGCACCATTTAGGTTCAAGTCAGATTCTAGGTGAAATAAGGAGGACCTTTACTTGAATTTCCTTATATTTCAGATAAGTCTATGCTGCTGCACTAATGGATTTTGGGGGAACCAAAATGGACCTTATACATATTTCCTCACATCCACAAAATCTGTAAAAGACCTTAGAGTGTTCCAAAGTATTTGTCAAAAAAATGACTACCTCTGTGAGTGCATCCTTTACTATACTTCAGGTGCACAGAGGCCAGACAGCGGAGATCCAAAGGCTCACGTTCAGATAACGGGAAACATCGTGGAGGCTCTGAACATACCTACTTCTTGCTCATGCAATAAAAAATGTAACGAGTTGATATTGGTGGAGAATCGATACACAATCTTCAAACCAAGTTTTGCTGGTTTTCCCTGGGCTTCTCTCTGTGTGAAAAGAGATATGTAACATTAGGTGAAGAAAGAACTTTCCCATGATTCAACAGTGACACAACTTATCATTTCCCATCTGTTGTAGTTATGGTTTGTGAGGGAATAGACTTAATATAGAACACATAATTTATAAGATTATATTATAATCGTCACCAAAAAAGTCAAATGCAGAAGAATGTGGGAAATCTGTCTACATACTAAAGACACAAAGAATCTAGCTAAGACCCTAGATCCCATAGCACTTTCTCACAAGAGTTCTGCTGAAGAACTACAGCCTATGGCAATGTCCTCCATGAGTCTAGCTGGAGGACTAGAGCCATGACAATGTCTCACACAGGTCTGTATCAAGGATCTGCTTTGAGAAGGCCCAAAGGTCAGTGGTGGAAGCTGAACATCTGCAGCACTGTGGTGAAGGATCTGTGCTACTACGTTGAGGGACCTGCATTGGAGCCAGAAACTGACACTCAAGGTAAGGGCCAGAGGTACCCAAAAAAAACCAGCAGCCATCCACAGAAAAAACAAGGACCAAAGCTCCTTTGATGATAACTTCTAAAGTCATATCAGAAAAACCAGTGGGACAAGCTTCTCCAGCAACAGCACACCATCTTCCTCTTCAGTTCTCCTTCTATGCTGTTGGCAACAATCCTCAGATGGATCTTCCACACCCAAAACCATGCTGACTCTGATCAACTCAGTGTCCCAAGTTGATCATTACTTTATCAACCACACCACTAACGCAGGAATTTGGTTCTTTAGGCACTTAAATCTGAAAAGGACCTTATATCATCTCACACATTGGAGTAGTCATCTGGTCAACCTCATATAAATAACAGAAAAAGAACTGAGGCTCCTTCTGATGAAATGGTCAGGAACAGATATCTTCAATAAAGTAGTCTTTACATCTGCCTTGACAAACCTCTGAGTGGGTACAACTTTGTGCGCTGTTTACTGTCTCTGTGTGCACCTCGGTCTCCTTAACTGTTTTCATCAGCCTGAATCTGTATATAGCTTTGTCCACTTGAGCAGTGATGTCTCTGCTGTGCTTCAGTTTTCACACTGTGGAATATCCAGGATATGAACACATCAATGCAGATGTACACAGGGCATGTAGCATGTCTTCCTTCTGTTACATGAAAACATTTTCTTCCTTATATTGTCCATTCTTCACATCTTTGATACAGCACTCAAGTATTCATCCTACAATATCCATTGTTCCAGGACCTTAGACAGCTTTTATGGGTAGAAGAGATGAGTCACGTCCTTTCCTTACATTTTAATATTTCATTCCAAGGCAGATGAACATAGATCAAGGCAACTCACAATGAGGGGGCCATAATGAAGTTGGGAGTAGACTGTGGATATGAGAAAGTTAGATGGTAAATGATTTCCGTTGGAAAACACATGGATCCAGACAGCAACAGCAGACCACAGGGCAGGACTCAAGTGTCATGAGATCTCAGCTGAGACAGGCCAACAGGGGCAGAGGAGAGTAGTATTCCACACAAATGCTTTAGTAAAAAGAGGACTGAGAGACATGTTAAGGGTCATAGAATTGAGTTCAGTCCTCGTCTTCCCAGGTATGCTCTACATGATATTATACTCCCTGAAATATTATTCTATAAAGTGACTGTTATGATTTGTGTCTGGATGGCCCCAGAAAACCTCATGCAGTCATGGGGCAGGCTTCTAGAGTTTATGATTGATTCATGGTCCAATGTTGAGACTATGGGTGTAAGTGCTGCACCCATCCTGGGGTGGATAGTTTGCATGCAGTGTAAGGGAGGGAAAGATGCTGCTTGCCACTCCTCCCCTAGTGCTCTTTTTGCTTTTGCTATCTCCCACCAGCCATGAACTGTTGCTTTCTGTCACATGTCACTCTGCCTTGGAGCCAGCCGAGTATGGACTGAACCCTCCACAAACTGTGAGCTAAGTAAACCTTTCCTTCTTTAATTTTGGATGTCAGGTATTTTGTCTCAGCAACGAGAGAAAAGTAACCAAAACAGTGACTTATGGCTACCAAAGTCTTAGTAACAATACCACAAGAAACAAAGCTGAATTTGCTTTCTATTCACTTTCGATATCATTGCACTTCAGAGTGCCTAAAAGCTCTGCAGAGCCTCTCAGTAGACAACCCATTTGATAATGAGTAGAACACTGCTACCCAGTCTACCTTGGGTCTTTCACTCAGCAAATTCACCATTGCTATGAAGCATGATTTTGTGTTGTGTGATGAGAATGTTATTTTAATGAGTAAAAGTGATACATAGCAGAAGATTGGACCTTATCCAGGCCATTGCCAATAAAGTAATATAAAGGCCTCGAGTTTATCTTCCTTTACAGTTAATTCTCCATTGTACAAAAATACCACATCTTTTTTGAAAGATTTTATTTTAAAGGAAAAAAAACCAAAATAGAA